TCCAGTATTGAGATGAGCCATTGGCCAATCATGTGGGCTCTAGACTTCTCATATACCAGCTGGATAGAATGCCTACTCTCTTCGATGACCTCTTCTCTTCTTCATCACAAGAGTCAATTATTTATAAAAATGTCAATAGTGACTATAGCAATATCTGCACCATCTGGAGTCATGAACGAATATTCGTTGCGAATTATACAAATGCTCAAATCTGCCAACAAATTCTTATACAAAGTTTCAGCCACTAGATGTCAAGTCGAGGCAAAGAAACAAAAGCAATTGGAAGAAGGTGTTTTTGACAAGACCAAACTTTAATAACAACTAGTAGAGGGTTTTGGAAGCTTGCAAGTGATAGTGGCAGCCCGCTAATAATTGATTTCCTGTTATGGGATTTGGCTTACACGCCTCCATTCTCAATCAGTGTCTCTGGTTAGGCTGAGAAGCTTTGGCCTTGAAACAGACTTTCGATCTTCAAGATTGCCATTCCCGATGTCTGTACGAATATTCAAGCCAAGTTCAATGTCTGACCGAGTTACATTGACTCGGCACTGCCCTCTATCAGGGATTTGGTTGAGAGTTGTATCGCCGAACTGACCTCATCAATCTTGGATAGAATCATGTTGACTCGCATGCCGTCGATCATCCAATGACCGAAAAGCCGACCCAAGGCTAACATCACCGCATCGTGGAAGTACAGATGCAGAGCTTTGCTCGAAATGGCCTCGGAAGAAGTGTTATGGCTTGCTCGGGTGGTCGTCGCCTCATCTTTTTCTGACTCTAATAAGTTCTACTCGCCGTATCATGTATAACTCAACCGCCTCAACCGTTCTTGTTGGTGCAGGCTTCATTATCCTGTAGACAAAGCCGCGTTCCTGTTGCGATTGCATACTCAAGACCGTCATTCATGGTCTGCGTGAGAAATCGTCAGAGACTGACCCAGATCGTCCAATCCGCACACCAGATCGCTAAATGTCAGTTTCATATTTGGCCAAGAGTCTGAGCGGCTTCAACCATCACCTGAGCTGTCTAATCCGAGTTGATCAAGTTGTGGTCAAGTTTCTCACTTGACAGTAGCTCTTTCAGTATGTATCCTGGAGTGGATTGTCTGTTCCGGGGACTCGTCATGCTCATGCTGGTCTCATCCTACCAAAGTTTCCAGAGCAAGGTCTGATACGAATCTCTCAACATAAGTGAGGATCGAGGAACAATGAGCAAGTGGTTGCTACAAAGCTTCGCAACTCTTGTTAAAAGAGAGTCTGCGTTGAGAAGGTAGCGTAGCCATCGTCTTTGTGTGAATGTGCTGGGCGTGTAATACTGGAAATCAGTCCAAGATACTAAAGTTAGCAACCAAAGATCATATGTTACATCGAATGGAAAAGAGAAGCATCTTTAATCTTGTTCCCAGCCTCGGTTGGCTACCAACCCGTGATGATGCCATTCAGAGGTTGTATTGGAGATGATTCGCATATCATGAGCATCAGGAGTAGATCGAAAGCGGAACAAGCCTGCCATGTGGCCACCCTGTTTGAGAAAATGGTCCCGTCTAGAAACTTGATAAACTCCACTTCGCTAAATGAATATCGTGCTGGAGCTTGAAAGCCTGAGTGGTCTCGGTGCTGTTTAAATTGCTTTATTTCTTCAAGAGCCCACGCGAAATTTGGGGTCCGAGAGCTCCCTCAGCTAGCAAGGATGGGTGGTCTTGAGTTCGATACATAGTATTTCCAGCCAGCGATATCCGCATGCCCGCAGGCCGTGGGAAAGTTATGACAACATCGATCAGAACGGACGCAGTCGAGCGCCCGTGTATCGTAGATGATGATGATGATCATCATCATATCGTTCGTGTGCTGAGCACCAAGTTCCTGGAACTCGGAAGCTCAGAGCAAGGATAACCAATCATTCAATGTGAGGTTCAAGATCTGAGACTTGGATCTTAGCGAATAGATTTAATGGATCGATCACTCCCCAAAGAACGAACAATCTTGAAACAATTCCAAAAAAGCAAGTGGGCAGACATTAAACTTTAGCCGGTGGAATCCGGATAACGCTCTCTACCAAATATTGGCAAACATCTTGATTCTGGAGCGCATGTGATCAGAGATCCCAGGGACTCGGAGAGGTCTGATCACCAACATGGAGACATGGCCAGCCAACCGTCAAAGAAACGTGTGGGCCAACACGGAATCGCCTTGAGGCACGACGTCCACTAAACAAAACTGCCAATTACTGAAATGGGCCAATTGCCGTTGAGGGTGTGGCCGAGGCTCTTGAGGATCCTCAGCTCTCGGCGTCCATTTCAACTGGGAAGATCTATGGCGTTGATTGGATCACGGCCACGTCTGCTCCATAAAGGCTAAGTTAGTAGTTGGTTCTCTCACCAAGCCCGCTACACTTGAGTCAGTCGCGACGATATTACTTACAAGCCTCTTCACAGGGGGCTTGGGGGACAGTGTACGGATAGGTAATACGGGAATGCTTAACCGGGCAGGAGACACCAGAAACGAAACGGACTTTGTAACTATTCCCAGATTGCTTGCTCGGACTTTGTCGATCATGATAGCGAAACGGTCAGTGTCAGTGTCAGTGTCAGTGTCAGTCAAGAAAGACACGAACAACAAAAGGTCTGAGTGTCTGTCTTTGGTCGTTTGATACCGGACGGACCGCCATGCTATGCCAAAGTCCCCTGCCTCACGCGGCTCCTTGATTGATGATCGACGGAATGTCGCAGCGACACCCAGAAGCTGGCACTTCCTGTCACTAGCTGTAGATCTGTTGACAGAAGAGAACCATGATCTTGAACGCTGAATAGACCCGATGCGCTTCGACCGTTGAGAGGATAAAGGTTCGTTAACTCCGACGAGACACAAGGACACAAGATGCAAGCTGTGTCGCAAATAAAGTGCGTAGTACGGTGCTAGTGTAGCATGTTCCTGCTGCCAGCCGCACAAGCTGTTCCCGAGTTATTCTGTTACAGTATGAATATTACATACAGAGAGTATCCGTAGGCGATAGGTTCATAATAGCAGCATGCTACAGGCCATGGTTCATGCCAACTAAAATAAGCCTGCACAGATCCAATACGTAGCTCAGACTGGAGAGTCTTGATCAAGACTGCAGTTCGTGATCGAAAGCGGTCCGACGTGGGAGACAAAAGAAGAAAAAAGCAATGAAACAAGGATGACAGCACGGGCACCACAGAAGAGAATTATGGAGGTTCCTCTTCTAGATGGCTTCTGAGCTTCTGTGCCGAAAAGCGCTGCTGCTAGTGATTGAAGGACCCTTGGCGCTTCTACGCTTCTCGGGCGATCCCCCTTTAGTAGCGTCTACAACGACCCATCAACTAGGACGACCCCGGTCAGGAGACAAGGAGCTTGGCAGACTAGCAGGTATCATTTGATATTCAGTGGCCTATGTCGAGCGATAGTGACAATGCAGAATGCTCAGTCAAGATGCTTCAAACGGCTGAAACGTTGAGTAGCCGGAGTTGAGGGCACAAAAGGAGCAACAATGCGGAGAAGATGGATACAGTAGGACACGGCACTATTGGAGGTGGATGATAATACCAAGATAATGCCGATTGACTGCGGGAGGCGGGACAGACGCGCCTCGATGCAACGGGCCGATATTGTCTCAAGCTGAGGAGCGGTGTTATTGATGATGGCGATGATGACGGTATGTACTCCGTAAAATATCGTTAAACAGCTACCATGGCAGTAAGTACATAAGTGAGAAATGATAGCCAAGCCTGAAACTTGCACTGTAATTAACTTTGAGAGTGTTTGTTGACGATACCTGATACCCGCAGATGCTCTGAAAACGAAAACAGATGGATCATGATGCAAGGTAACATCGTGAGAGTGACATGGAGCCCCAGCACTCTAACTCTTGCGTCAACCCGTACGTAAGCTGCTGGCCAATCGCAACATCACATCACACAAGATACTCAAGTCACTCCTGAATATTCGCCGTTTTAACGTCGTATTAAGCTCAGGGCGCTCACTTATAGCACACCTCGATGGATTTGAGAACCTGACCTGGCCTGACGTTTCGGATCAAGCTCCCTGGCCTGTGATGGACGCTGCAGGTTGAATGAAACTCGGATCCGAGCCGAAATGATCAAGACTGCAACTCTACGGCTCTACGGCTTTATCAAGCTCAAACAACAAACATCGAGACTGGGTACGAGTTCTGTATGAAGGGTGTTTCAACTGCAGAACAGAGCTTCATCAGTATCATGCAGTTAGTCATCTCTCTCGAGCCTATTATACCAGCCAGCCTTATTAGCCCATCGTCGCGTGCATCGAAGCCATCCAAGAGCTGTAACAACTCCACAGTTCATCAGGATGGCCCCTATTTGTATATGTTTCGTTGCTCGTAGATCGGCTGGTTCTCCGTACAGTACGGAGTAATATGGCTGCTGAAGTTGACTTAGAAACAGCCATGTTCTTGTGTGGTGCCGTTCCTTCAACGCTTCAATTGCGATATATGACTGATAACTTACTATTGATATTCTGGAAACGAACCGTCGAAAAAAGTAATTTCTCGGCCGTGTCCGATTGGCTTTTCGAACCGTAAAAACATTCACATCGTCATCAGTGTCGTACCTAACCTAGCTTCTGCCACTATATTCATAGTCTCCCACTGGATGCCCTTCCTGATTCATTTGATCGCCCGTCTGCACTTTGGCTTTCATGATCATCCCGCCGCTGGGCAAGACGCTATACCCCAGAAGGCCAGGTCTTGTCTGAATCGATTGGGACGAACGACAAAGCTCCACTGGCTTCCAAAGCTAGTCAAGTTGTTCTACGACCGGCCATAGAGGAGAGAGCATGGCGATGTGTAACGAACGACTGGAGTAGGAGCAGGCATCTTCATTAATTTAGATAGTAGCTAGGTAGCGGGTGCTTTTCCTTTTGCGACAGTCAAGTCAATTGCCTCCATTAGCTGATGAGACGGGCTTGTCAATGCCTGCCCGTTCGCTCCAACTTAGAAACCATGCCATGCCATGCCCATCTCCCATGGATACCCACAGCCAAGTAGATGGCACCATTGCTCCACCTCACCGTGGTCCTGGTCTGGCTTTGAATTGGTTCCTGGAAAAGGTTCGCTCGTTTGAGGACGGGTTTAAGCATGTTGTTCAATGGAGGAACCGGCTCTTTGCAGGCGCTGGTAAGTTTCTTCCTATCGCCTGCCATGCAGCACTGTCACAGCAGAATGCGATGATCATCACCATGCATTTTAAGTGCATTGGATGGATGGCTTTGGTTCCCGTCACGAGCCAGAACCAGTGGGAGCTTTGCTGGGCAACCAATGGATCAACCACTTACGACATGGGGCATGTCCAGTAGAAGCTGGATCTCTCAAGCGATACTGAAGTGGGGGAGGCTCCGAGCTCAAGGCTGCGCTGAGGAATTTCCACACTGTATACTTGGATGGATGCAAGCAGTGATTTGTGTGTCTTTGTAAGGCGACCCCAGGAATTAGAGACTGGACAGGACTTTCACTCTGGTGAGAATACCGAGGTGGCTTGCCAGGCCTCATGGCCTTGTCAGAGACTTGGCGTGCTCTTGATGCTCTCCAATCTCTCTGAAAGTGCACTGATGGTGATGAAATGGAGTGCATACAGAGAGGGTCTGTCCCCTGGAGTCCGCTTTGATAACCTCCAGGATGTTGCTGTAAGCATTGGATGGCTACCAGGGTCCAGAGTTCCCTGACCCTCAGTTCAGGTACAATTTGAGTACCGTACGATTTGCTTCGACAGCAATTGCTTTCCAACTTTGAGCGAAGAGAGATTTCCTGAGGCATATCGTTATACGAGGAATTCTAGCTTTCCTATAGAGTATGTCTGTTGATTCAGCGGCTCGTGATGATGGGCAGACAGACTGTGAAACCATCTTCCACTCACCCAATCTGTACATGAACCCGGGTAATAAACGAGAGCCATGGATCTTAATGCAAATGAAAGTGTCCGGGGCTAAAGCGGTAGCAGAGGACCCTGCTAACCAACTCTAGTAGGTAAGGTTTAACCAGAAAGGTACCAGATAAACACTGGGGTTCTCTGCAAAACAAGCGGTACTGTCTGAACCTGACTGGGATGGCTCATTTCATCTCATTTTCTTTTTCTCTTCTTTGGCTTCCAGTGCCAGACCAGTTCCCAACCAGTTCCCATCTGGCTGGCTCCAAAGTGCTCAAGGCACGCCTCTTTTCTGTCTTGTATCCAATCAGCAGCCGCTACACTTTCATTGACGGTATCCCCGGCCGCATCATTTTTTCCCTCTCTCCCAATTGCGTCCATCCGCCGCCGTCTTTAATTCTGCTTCTGTTGTCTGTGAACTCATTCTCTCTCTCCTTTCTAAAACCACAGTCCCCCCCTCTCTGTGATTACTGCTTTGTGCCCGTTCCGGCTTCCAGTCCGTTTATTTAGGGTTTCCTCTACTGTATTTACTCTACCAGGGCTGTTCGTTCCATTCTCATCTTCATTCCCACCCGCTTATCCTGTCCTGTCACATCCATCCCAATTCATCCGCATACCCGCCAGCCGCTTTTGCCTCTCCATTTTCTCTGCCGTTCGAGCATCGACGTATCATCACCTGTGAAGAAGAGGCAACACCATTTCGCCGCCGCGCCAGGATATCACAATCCAAGTTTGTTACTGTCTGCAGAGCTCAAGCGATATTGTGAGGAAAGTTCAGAAGGTTAGTTACCACATCGCAGTTCTCCACGCGATTGCGCCTGTTCATTTCTTTCTCTTCTTCACTTGATCACCTCAATCCCAGAACGGGCAGCATAATGAGGTACCACACGACGATACCTACTGAACTGTACACCCCCTGTTCTCCACCCCCCGGGCTACCTAAAAAGCCCCAACCTTTAGGCCTAGGGGGGCCCCCCTCACCCCCTGGCCCAGGGGAGGAGGCGCGAGAGATTCCGCCCTGGGCTGGGCCTTTTTGGCCTTTTGGCCTTTGCTGGCACGACTCGTGTGTCGTGCCCCAAATTGCAGCATCTCTTCTCCCCCAGTCGTAGTGCACCTTAGTCCCAGTCAGTCCTGGTCCCGGTCCCCAGCTACTGAGCTACGCCAAAAGCTGCTTCTGCATCTCCTTTTCTCTTCCTTCACTCCACCTTTTTACCTTACCTCAACCTTACATCGCCTTCGCCTTCGCTTTCGTCTGCTTTTTCCATCTCATCTCTTCTCTCTTCTCTATACCTTGACAAGTCGGGATCCTTTTCCCCTCGACCAGATTGTCTTTCGTTAGAGCCACGACTTCGAGCGTTGTTAATCACTAACGTCGACGGCTCTAGATTATACCCATTCACACACCCACCTATTTCGCGACCACGACGGCACACGTAAACATCGCGTCGTCGACGTTGTTTAATCAGTCCCAGCATTTCCTATAAACCTTGCGAAAAAAGAAGTAAACAGCACTACCGTCACAATGGGTTGCGGAATGAGCACAGAGGAGAAGGAGGGCAAGGCCCGGAATGAGGAGATTGAGAACCAGCTCAAGCGCGACAAAATGATGCAGCGAAACGAGATCAAGATGCTTCTGCTCGGTATGTTTGCCAATTACTTCGGTCACGCGCCATTCTCTACGCAAACGAGTCGCGAAGACCGTCGATCGGGCCGCTTTCTAACACGCTCACAGGTGCTGGTGAATCTGGAAAGTCCACCATCCTCAAGCAGATGAAGCTCATTCACGAGGGAGGCTACTCGCGCGATGAGCGGGAATCCTTCAAGGAAATCATCTTCAGCAACACCGTTCAGTCAATGCGTGTTATCCTCGAGGCCATGGAGTCTCTCGAGCTTCCTCTCGAGGACCAGCGCATGGAGTACCACGTTCAGACCATCTTCATGCAACCCGCTCAGATCGAAGGCGATGTCCTGCCCCCTGAGGTTGGCAGCGCCATCGAGGCTTTGTGGAAGGATCGTGGTGTGCAAGAATGTTTTAAGCGATCTCGCGAGTACCAGCTTAACGACTCAGCCCGATAGTATGTGTATCTGAGGGGAACAACTACTTTCGTTTACTAACCTTGGATAGCTACTTCGACAACATTGCTCGCATCGCCGCTCCTGATTACATGCCAAACGACCAGGATGTCCTCCGATCTCGTGTCAAGACCACCGGTATTACTGAGACCACATTCATCATCGGTGACCTTACATACAGAATGTTCGACGTCGGTGGTCAAAGATCCGAGCGAAAGAAGTGGATTCACTGCTTCGAGAACGTCACCACCATTCTTTTCCTGGTTGCCATCTCCGAGTACGATCAGCTCCTGTTTGAGGATGAGACTGTCAACCGAATGCAGGAGGCTCTTACTCTCTTCGATTCCATCTGCAACTCAAGGTGGTTCATCAAGACATCGATCATTCTGTTTCTCAACAAGATCGATCGTTTCAAGGAGAAGCTGCCTGTCAGCCCCATGAAGAACTACTTCCCCGACTACGAGGGCGGTGACGACTATGCCGCGGCTTGCGATTACATCCTCAACCGTTTCGTCAGTTTGAACCAACACGAGACCAAGCAGATCTATACCCATTTCACCTGCGCAACCGATACCACTCAGATCCGCTTCGTCATGGCGGCTGTCAACGGTAAGTTACCCCGACTCGAGTGTTGGCCAAATTCCTCCAAATTCACGTATTCTAATAGGCTGCAGATATCATCATCCAAGAGAACCTGCGTCTCTGTGGTCTCATCTAAATGATCTTTTTTTTCTTGCTGTCACAAAACACGAATACCCTCGAACTTAATAACGACACTGCTTAGATGGGCCACGGGGAAATGGCTCACGATTTTTTCTTGTACTCGTCACACCGGAGGAGCGAAGGCGCAAGTCAACAACTGCGTGACTCCTTGGGTCGACGACGGATACTGACGGTCCGGCTCACCCATTACGCCAGATATACTACTAGCTTTGGCTGTGCCCAGGTCGACCTTGGTTCCGTTTCTTTGTAAGGATTTTCCGGTTGATGGATGGGAGTTGAGTTGCCTTGTATCACAAAAACGTCTTTTTAAAGGGAGCAGGAATTTAAGAACGGTGGACCACAGACGATGAAGCCGCGAAGGCCAGTGGTCATGGCCGCCCATGACGTCGGGAAGATATGATTTGCCCGTTCAAGAGCGTGACGGACGAGGCTGGAAGAAGGGGTCATTATTTGCATCTAAACAGTACGGGCGATGGAGGATGGTGGTCATCTACTTTGTTTAATTACGAAACTCTTTCCTACCACTACCACTACCGCCCATGCCTTGTTACCCTCCACACGTTAGCATTGTATTGTTTACTCACTCGTCACTCGGATGCGGTGTTTTCTCGTTTCATTTCAACTATCAAAGTATACTGTAAAATAATGATTTGGCGCGTCTTTCGTCTGAAACAAACTCACCGCCTGTCGCCAAATTCCGCGCCTGCTCATGTCTTGTTTGCTCTTTTCGCTTGCGTTTTGACTCACTTTTCTTTTGGCGTATGTCTTAAAGTCAAGCCCAGTGCCCCGTTTTTGCCCAGAGCAGAGGATGTAAACGCGCGCTACCCACGCACGTTTCCCAACGGGGACACATCCGGATCCATCACCCTACAGAACTATGGAGGTTTTGTCTCTGATGTGAGACATGCGTGGGAGCAGTTGGATGTTTGCTTGTGATGATGTCTTCAAGACCAAGATAAACAAAATCATGTGACTTGACTCAACCTCGTTCACTTTCCTGGGAGGCAGAATACATGAGTGATGGCAAACAGGAAATATTTCACAAAAATCGTACGAAGGGCGGCGATCCAGTTTCTTTCGCTCATATAAAAAATGCATACCCAGCAAATAGTCACATCCTATGGCGGCTCACGTGTTTCATAATCTTGTCTGTTTCAGTTGTCTCAATTTTGTCAGGAAAACTATGCTCCAAGGCTACTCCTAATAGACTAGATCCGACAATCTCGGCATAAAAGCATCCCAGAGCCTTTGATCCATTCTTGCTCGAGATTGGTAATGGTACAGATAGTAGTCAATCTCCATCTAGAGCCAACCCAGGCTGCCTGGCTTCCAAGACTGCTTGAAAGTTGCCATACACAGCACACGCTAGCCTTGCTAGCCAAGCTCTGCCCTTGCTATCGGTTTGTCCTGAATACATGATCATACAAGTTGGTAAAGAAAATAGTTCGGCTGGACTGCACGGATATCGAAGATTGGCGACGTGTATCTTTGAGTCGAACCAGCCGTGCGGTACTGAAAAAGGAAAGATTCGAAAAAATGAAATGGTGGGTGATTATTGCTCGATATGGCGTACACGCTCATAACTATGAGTATGTTGGGCTGGTGCGCATTCTTCTCATCCAGTGGTAATACAATGCGTATTCCAATAGTAGTCTCAAGACAGAGCGTGGCCCGAAATCAGCGGCAAACTCACTTGAGATCACACAATAAGCGAAGGGTTCCAAATTCTGGTCCAAGGGACATCAAAGAGCACTGTGACTTGGTTAGTAGGATCCAGCGAACCATGTGAGTCCACTCACATCACTCGACAACTCTATAGTATGTTGCCTGGTCATTTTATTCTTTCGTATTCTGCGTGTTAGACGCATTGCTGAGGGCCGTCATAGCATTGAGCCTTGCTCAATGGAGGCGTTGTACATCGGCGGCCGCAATGAGCATAGAACCACTCAGTTCTCATATGGCGGGGTGTTTAAGAGAGTCAATGTCATAGGACGTGCTTCGACATTCTCCTCAGAAGATCCCTCCTCTGACGAGGCTTCCTGAGAAGACTGCTCTGAAGAGGAAGACTCGTAGGAAGAGCTGTCTTCGAAAGCGTGCTCCTGGTGGGCATTCTCCTGTGAAGAAGGCTCTTGGGAGAGTGGCTCCTGGGTGTGGTCATCACCAGAAGAGATTTGCTGGGGACCAGCCACCCCAGAAAGCTGGGTCATGAAAGCATCACCGTCAGAAGTGGCAAGGAAGTCATGCAACTCCGCGAGGCGAATGCCGAGCTCCTCGGCAGCCCTCTCTACCTGTGCAAACTTTCGTTCTCCTTGGCTCATAGCAGCGACATTTGAGACAACATTGCCGACCATGTTGTTGGCGGGACCTGGCAGATTCTATCTGCCGGAACCGAGTCCCAGGGCCTGGATCATGTTCATAGCGAACTGGTTGCGCATTTGAGGATCCACGTAGACAGACGCGGCAGCTGCTGGGTTCATAGGGAGGATGCCCTGGGGAAGCGCCAGGGGATTGAGCTGGGCGTATTGAAAAGGCTGGGTTGGCATTCCCGCAGATTGGGGGTGGTACAATGGCGCCGGGGCATAGATGGAGTTCTGGTTGTTCTCTGAAGGAAGTGAGCGTTGGTTTATGATATCGGTGTGGCATGAGAGTCAACTTACCGTGAAAAGTGCAACGAGAACCACTGGCATTGAACCAGCAGTTTGTGCAGCTACCACACATCTGGCCATCGTAGATGATACACTCAGACCAGGGGCCGTGTCCTTTGGAGCAATTCTTGCAAGAACGGCTGACCTGGACTCCAGTGAGATGGGCCAAGAAGGCTTCGACATTGCTACGGCGCTCCATGTTCAGAACCATGTCAGAGCGACGCTGTCGGATGGGTCGTAGGGATGCTTCACCGGCTAGCTTTTTGCCGAGAGTGCTGTCGATCACGATTCTGTTGCCATAGATTTCTAGAGCGACGTCACCAGCTGTCAATGTTCCAGCTGCGTTGTTGGAAGGACCAGAGGACGTAGCAATGGTGCCATGAACCTGAGGATTACGGCGAGCGAGAGCCAGGCCTCCCTCGGCCTGCTCGTCTGGGTGGCTACTATGGTATTGAGTAAGTGTCTGGGCGCAAGTGTGGGAAGCTAAACATACTCATTGGTGTTGTAGCTGCTAAAGCTGCTGAAGGGGGGTTCTTGGGATGAATCACTCGAGTTCCTGATAGTTTCCTGAGAAGAGGAGCGATCACAAGAAGCAGGCGGAGCTCTCTTCTGGCTCGAGCCAGCTTGCTTCGTTCCCTTGGTATCCTTCTTCGCAGCAATACGGTTTGAAGAACGTGTTCCTCCAGTATTGGAGAAGGGGGTGTGTCGGCGCGTAGTGCGCGCAGCCTTCATTTTACCCATTCTGAAGGCAAAGGGCGAGATGCAAATCTCGAGAGTTGCTAAATAATCACAAGGTAGACTTGTACAGACTCCTTGAGAGACCGCCAACTGATGTATGATAAGAGAAGAATATATGAGCAGTGATAGCAGGTAATTTGATATGAGTGCGAATATATTCTTGACAAGGGTTGAAAGAGTAGGTGACAAAAAGAAGAGAGAGAAGAAGAAAAGAGAGAAGCAGGTCGGGGCCAAAAGTAGCAGTGAGCTGTTGGCATAGTGACCCCACTGTTTATCGCGTTTTCCACGTACCGTGCATCTCGCGTTTCAGCACAGTACGCGAGCGGGCGAGATCACTTGTTATAGGCAGGCAGATTCATTTCTCTGACGTAAATTCAATCATTGACGCGTATAGGTCATGCACCGGCACCGCCGATGATTCACTCTCATTCAATTGAAATATCGGTACAAGCTTTGGTCAACATGCGGCTCTACACAGGAGTGTCTCTGCTCAAGTTCACCAAATCGAGGTGTTCAGCTCCTATGAGATTGGTGAACTCGACTCATTGGACTGGAGAAAATCCAAAATATCATACAATAACTCTCTTTACTAAATCTATCCCTCTTCATCATCATTGGTTGGGCATATCGATGCTCTAAACTCGGTTCTATTCAATGTTGCCCAATGGCTTATTCAATGGATGGACGAGTAGATGACCAATTCACGCTTCAATATGCTGTGCATGCGATCTAGTTCTGAGACTCTATTGCCTAGCACCAGCTGCCTGTTCCCAAATTCCATCTCCTCGTCCCTCGGTGATTTCCTTCCACTGCATCGCAAACTCCATCAACCCTCCCTGGCCACCCATGCTTGCATCTACTACCTCTTTTGGTAGCTTGTGCGCTGAGTATTGTGGGCTACTAAAGTTGTACGCAGCTGGGTCATCCTTTTCTATTATCCGGAATTCAGGGCTCATCTCAGGTCGGTACTCAATATCGTCATCCTCGTCCTCGCCCTCTGTGACTGTGTCATCGCCGCTGACATCCGCACTGGCCTCATTACTTGAGGTTCCATAGAGGGGGTTCTTGACATCCATCTCAAGAAGCTCTTGCCAGCCAAAAAGTAGACTGTCTGTTCGAGGAGCCCATGGGTTGATATCCATTAACCTGACTTTCCCAAGTCCATCTTTCTCAAAGGAGTTCTCGGGAATATAAACATCAAAGACGAAGCTGGCGTCAGGAAATGTGAACCTCAGTTTCTCTCGGAAGAATGTCTTGATCTTACGCCACAGCTGAGGTCGAATCTGCTCTAAGAAATCATAATGATTGAGATCTCGCTGTGTGATACCAATGAGAGTTCTATGCTTGACGAAACATCGAAATTCGAGGGCCACATGAGGGGTGAAGAATGGTCTCAGAACAAGAATGGGCGCATATGGCTTGGTCGGAGGTCTCGGAGTGCAGTCGTCAAAGGCGTGATCGAGATCGTGAGAAACAAAAGAAGATGACTTGAGGAGTAGGTAGATGTCGTTTGGAGTCGTGCACTTGAGTGTGTTTTGGTGAGGCGAAATCCACTTGGCATCCTTTGGTGAAGACCAGTTCAACTTGGGCGCAACTGAGCCACCTAATTCCGCAATCTTCTCTTTGATGAGATTGTGAGTCTCCGGGAATCTCTGGTTAGGAGGAAGCCTCTCGTGTTCGTCATCCTCGTCATCTGACGAGTCAGGATCCCTAACTTGAGGCCTTGCAGATGTATTGGATGATGCATGCCATTCTTCTTCAGGCTCGTCTTGATTCTCATCATCATCATCATCTGCAAGAACTATACCGTCTTCGTGGAGATACTCGACGAATGAAGGCGGCAGTGGTATTATGCGAGATTTGAGACACGAGCTTCGGTATTTGGGAAACCAGGAGTCGTAGGAGCAGTTTTGGATGTGATCTTTGGTGACTGGTGGGAAAACGAGCTCAGGCGCATCGCCTTGGCTGTCAGCTTCAGCTGAAGCGGGAACGTGAGGCATCTTGGGTGTTAACCAAGGTCTTAAATCAAAGACTTATAGTATGAGAAGTCCTCGGTATCCAATTTTTATGTTACTTATGTGAAAAGATCAAAAAGTGATGGACTATGCTGTCGACGTTCAAATGTTGACTCACTTACAAATTATCCAAATATTCCATGCCCCTCCATGATGGAGGGGCGATAATTGCTTATCTTATCTTCCGAGAGAGGTAGGCGGTCAAGATTTAGCTGGAGCGACAGCGGCAGAGAAGGGTCCTACATACATCATATCCACCTTGCATGTTGCTGTCGCATCCGTCACAGATCTCAATTGTCCATGACATTATCTGCGCGCCAACCTATACCAACAATCCTTTCAACGATTCAAAACACAACACTTTGCCTACTCTATAATGTCTGATAACGTTGGTCTCAACACTCCCCGAGGCAGTGGCACCTCGGGCTACGTCCAACGCAACCTTGCCCAGATCAAGCCTCGCGACTACGGTGCTCCTTATCCCAAAGACCTCGATAGCTTGCGACACAAGCAACGCCAGCCAGATAAGGGAATCCTGGAGCATGATCGCAAGCGTGAGGTCGAAGTTAAGGTCTTTGACTTGAGGGACAAGCTTGAAGAAGAAGAGTACAGATTTGAATACATCCAATTGCAAAGCTGGCTGTGCTAACATGATCAAGGGTCGACGAAGATGAGATCGATAGGCGATGCGACGAGCTCCGACAAAAACTCCTTGCCGAGATGAATTCTGGGAGGAGAGGCGGTCAAAGAAAGACATTCAAGCAACACCAGGTTCACGAGATGGCCGATGCCAAGATCAAGGAGAGCGAACGACTACGGAAAGCATTGAAGATCAGCGCAGACTATGAAGAGGGAGGTCATTGGAAGCGGCAAGAAGAGAGGCTGCGCAGTGCTTTGGAGAAGGAAGAGGAGCAGGGTGAAGGTGACGACGATAGGAAAAGTGAGCCAAGAGACTAGGCCGACCACCCAACTCAAACCACATCGGCCACTATGTTCTCGGAACTTGCGTTTTGAGGGGGGACGCAGAGCTTTCGGTATTTGCACAATTGTCAAGCCTCTGGCGGCCTCTCACCCTTCGCCAGGAATCGGCCATTGTTATTCAAGTCATCCATCCATTGAAAATGTGGACAGAGCGGATAACTATAGCATCGGTTTCTGGGTGGTTTTACTGTCGTATTTCTGTTCATTTTCAAGCGGCGCATGGCGTTTGGGTATTGGGACTGACTGACCCAAGTTGCATTGTCTAGGGTAGGGTATTTAATATTGACTCGACGTTTTGTTCCTCTAAAAACGACTCATACATGGTTGCTGGGTTCTGTATTCTGTTGTGTAGGTATCTATCAAAGTGATTCTGGGGATTCTTATTACGATTACTTTGCTTTGTCTGTCCTTGACTCTGTGAACGATAACGAAAACATGAATATCAGCTGGTTGATCTAGCCACTCACTGAAGACACTCAACAATACCGTCCTTCATCCGACACTGGTCAAATTATGATCATGATCCTTGAATCTAATGGATTACGAAATGTTTATGAACCGAATTATATTATTGTGTAGCTTTTGTATATAGACCGTTTTCATCAAGAGTTCGGTTGGTCGTTAGGTATCGCCTTGTAAGTTGCGACGTGGCTTGGCATATGCTCATGCTACAAAGACCCGCTTTAGCTTGAGCTTCCTTGAACCTCACACGTCACTTAAACCACCAACGACAGTACCAGAGACGGACAAGATTCAGGAGATCGACAACAAAACAAAAATACGACCATGGCGCGACTCTCGCATTCTACCGTACATCCAATCAACAAAAGCGCAATCGATATTGCATTAGCAGAGCTGGGGAACCTACTGCTGCGACTACAAAAGACCGTTCTTCATACAGATAGCGACCGCGAACGACGACTGCGATCGAGCGAATTCGAAAGAGCACGAGTAGCATCCGTAAGGGCGCCTGTACCGGATTCTACATTCATATAAACTAACTCTGAACTATAGAACCTCGAATACGCACGAAACTCTCTGACGAAACTAGAACACGATGCACTGGGCATTAAAGCGCCAGGTCGGAGGGCTGAGGTGCAAAGTGACCTGAATGGGAAGAGAGAGCTTCTAGAACTGCTACTGGATCGGTTAGAAGACTTGAGACAAGTAAGAAATGTGTTACGGGACAAGGCAAAGAATCGAAACTGACATCACGACAGGTGGCAATTGAGGAGGATGAAGATGATGAGAGTACCGACGGAGAAGATATCCTCTCAGAAATAATACCTACGCCGAGCGATAGCATGGTCGATTCCATATCAACAGGACAACCCACCGAAAGCTCAGGGCAAGATGATGATGTCGAGTCAGATCCCCCCGAGGCAACAACGATACCAGTGACAACAGCCACAGTACCAGCGCCAGCATCAACAACCCCCCCTGACACGTCTACGACATCGCAAGAGCACAAACAACAACCCACGCAAACAACGCAGAACCTAAGATCAAGAGGCCCACCTTCATCTCCATCACCGCCTGCCCATTCAACAGCACGCGCGGCGCTTTTCGCCAATCGAGGCAAACCCTCTACTCCCCAAACATCAACAGCAACAGCTGAAGCCTTACTTGACCATCAACGACACGAACAGGAAGCCCTCTCAGAATCGATTCTTCAGATGGCGAGTGCTCTAAAGTCAAGCTCACAACGTTTCTCAACCACTCTCGAGGCAGACAAGGACGTAGTGGCGCGTGCAGGTGAGGGAATGGATAAGACAGAACAGAGCATGGAGGCGGCGAAGGGGCGAATGGGTATGCTCAAGAGGATGACAGAAGGAAAGGGATACTTTGGGAGACTACTGCTATATGCATATATCGCTTTGCTTGCTGTGGCATGCATACTCGTGGTCTTTGTTTTACCCAAGTTGAGGTTCTGAAGCTGAAACAACAAGGAAACTGGCAATAACACCTCGGTTTATGTACAAATGAGTAAATTATAAGCCACTATGAGCATTAATGTGTAATTAGCTACCGTTCCATATACGCCAAGCATACTGAGCGATTGTCCGCCAGTTTCCCAAGATATGCGCGTCCCAATCATATGCTGCTCCAACCGATAGTAACCTTATGCCCCCTAGCAATTGAGGTTGAGATTCTTCATCGATAACCCGAGACCTGGCGCACTCGTTCCTATCATATCTAGCAAGATAGTAAGCCTGTAATATCCGTAACCATCAGATGAACTCCAACTAAAGAGACTCTCGGGTCTCGAATTCAAAGGAGATTCCCATTTCACCCACAACACCAGGAACCACGGCGACATCCTCATCTACTGCATGTGAGAGTTCTTCCTCATCAATAGAAGAGGCTGGAGTAGCAAGAGCAATCTTGGTCTCTGCACAATCCATAAAGACATCAGTCGAGTTGTCTGCTTCCTCAACCTTTTCAGACTCAGGAGGTGATTCGGCTTTCCTTTCGCTATCAATGGTCTCAGAGTTAGTGATAGTTGCCTTTTCGTCTTGAGAATACTCAAACTCAGAAGGTGGAATCTTTTCCCTGCAGTCCCGAGAGGCCCCCAAGACGGAGCAGGATTCGTTTTCTTCTGTAGGCTTCACAGCATCAGGAGGAGAAGCCATTTCATTGTCGTCTCCAAGCTCCTTCGGATCTGTGCCAGATTCTTCCGCCGGAGCGCGAGGGGAATCGGGAGGTGAAACCATCACTTCATCCTCGTCTTCTTCAAGGGCTCTTGGGCCATCATCAGACTCAGGTTCAGCCGAATCAGTCTTAAGCTCCTCTTCCTTAGGTGGAGGCCACGGTAATCCACGAATCGAAGCATTGATATTTCGACAATACTCGATGTCGTGCTTCAGACGCCTCCCAATGGGTTTTCCCCTGGACTGAATATTATTAGTAAATCATCTTCATGAATAGCAATTGGCTTGAGACACACCGGAGGCTCGTACTGAAAATACGAACTGGGCATTGTTTGGGCTAGTGACACACGATCTTCCCAAGCGATCCCAGTCTTCTTTTTGAAGAACTCCATAAACAGATCCATCTCCGCCCTCCATTTACCCTCGTGAGGACTAGGGCGGTGATACATGGGCTGCGAGCTACCCTTTTGCTTCAGGAATTTTGCAGTGAACCAGTACAAGTGAGGTCTGGCGTTGGACTCCCACAACTGTCTAGTGTTAGTATCAAGACACGTGAGATGAGAAGTCTTACTTACGCAAAGAGAGTACTTCTGTCCGAACTCGCCCGTGAACTCATTATCTCGAGTGATGTCGACCTGGTAGACAAAGTTGAGGCGGTCTCGATAGAGGTGGAAGCGGTCTAGTAGAGCTTTAGTTTTCATAAATCAGCAGAACTGCGAACAACATACTTGTGTCAACAAATTTCTCTGCGTTCCTTCTACCCTTCTCGACCCGAGCCTTTTCTCTCTTTTTTGCGTTTTCCTTTGCGATGAGACTTCTCATGGAATAGTCCGCTTCAGGCAATTTCTTGTTCTTGACTGTCGAGTACTCGAACCAGTCACAATGAACGATGTGAATGCCCTTTCCAAGTTTTAATGCCTTTCTGACTATAAAGTTATAAGTAGTTGTCGAGGTAAGAGAGTATGAAACAAAGATTAGTACCTTTGGGAAGTTTCTTGTCGAACTGTTCCTTGGTGCAGAGGAGATGAGTGACAGTCTCGTCAAAGTCGTCGATAAAGACGCCTTTGCGAAGTGAGATCCATCGCTTCAGGTTTTCCACTGTCAACTGACCAGGAAGCGGCCCTGCAGCTGCAATTATACGGTTCTTGAAGATCTGAGCAACCATGTCTGCTGGAATTCATGTAATGCTGATAAATTGTCGACGAGCTGAAGGACGAGGACCGATCAATGCTATACTTGGGTCTAGGATGCAGAAGTCCAATGTGAAAAAGGAGGGAAACTGAAGAAGGAAGAACAGAATAAGATTGGTAGGCGAAGGTGAAGATATCCTGTGGCAAGAGGTGAAGATGTTATTGCTGATCAGGACCAAAAGTGAAAGATGATGACTTTAGACTAGAGATGGTAGTATCAGTCTGAGATCCTCTTTTATAACAAAGACTGACGGCCTCGTTATAAGATAGGATAAAGAGTGAGATTGTAGGAAGAGGTTTTAAAAAAAGAGAAGTTAATGTAAAAGCCCAAGATCAGGACTTGTTGTGAGAAGAGATGAACATGCGAGACTCTGAGCCTAAGTGCATGTTTGATAGCGCCTTGTGCTATTAGAGGGAGAGTGTATAGAATGGAATGATAATATCTATGCCTCAGAAAAGGGTTACCACGAAAGAATTATTATGAGGACCACCTTAAAAAGGGGACACTTTAAAATGGCTTACAACCCCCACAGCTTCAATCAAACTTGAATGCTCACAAGCGTTTTCTAAAATTGTATAACCTGTATTTTATTCTATCTTTTATCGGATCTCCTTGGCAGCCTTTATGAAAGCTGCGATCTTGTCTAGGCTTTGTTTTCCATCTTCCTCCACACCACTGCTCACATCAACACCAATCACTCGATCAGCTAGGGGACCTAAAGCCTTGACAGACTCAGCCACATTGTCAGGGTTGAGGCCGCCCGCAAGGAAGACTCGAAGCTCAGGATCGCTCTCCAGAACAGCCTGTACGTTGGTGACATTGAGAAGCTTGCCGGATCCAGAGCCAGAGTCAAGAAGAGGAACAGTATGATAGCCCCGACGCGCAATTCCGACTTGGCCAGGCTTGAAGCATCGGACGACGGGCACAGGGATGAGGCTCGCCCACTCGATTGGCTCGTCGCCATGAAGCTGGACTAGGTCAAGGTCGTATTGCTTCTGCTTCTCCAAAACCTCGCTCAGAGGCTGGTTCTGGAAAATACCAACGAGCTGAGGTCGAGGGCTACGAAGTCTTTGGGTAGCAGCTTCGAAGTAGTCCTTGGCTTTGTTGTCTACTGCTGCCACTTGGGTATCGTAT